AATCCCTGTGTCACTCTGGATCTGATCTTTCCACCTCTTGGGTGGTCTTCCCGGGGTCTAGGGTTTTGGAAGTCCTTTGGAAGTCCTAAAGCTTAAGCATCTTTGAAATTGACGCGAAACATGTGGGACCGCCCGAACTTGCCTTGTGCTCCCCATTAATCTCCAAGCAGATCTCTTTCGGTGGCAAGACAGTATCCATTAGCCAGAGAAGGTCGCCGGTCACCGGTGGGGGTAGCCGAAAAAAACGGTCTTATATAAAAAGCGACACAACCTCCCCCACAACCTCTGCTTGGAGAGTACTCTCCATGGCGTTTGGCGTAGGAACGCTATTTGATAATTTGACCTCTTGTAATTTGTATCAAGATAGAGGGATTTTTTTAGCAAAATCAATTCCTTGTAAAAGCGAGGTTTGGGCTCTCCAACATTCAGTTATTCTAAAGAAGTTGTCGGAATGCCCACCCTCATTTTAATGTCTGCGTCACGTTGTCGACGAGCCTCGCCCGACTTGAACAAAGTTTTAAAAATAGTACGTGCTTCGAGCGAGCTTCGCGCAATACTCGGAAGAGGGTCATCCGAGTAATGCGCGAAGCTGTCGCGAGGGTCGACCGTATTCAGCGACCATCGTCCGATTTTTGAGGACGAAGAACGGTTGACAAGCTCGAGGGATAGGATGTACGTCCGAATGTCGGTCGACACTCGGCCGCACAGGGGCGAACTATGCGTAAGGGCGAGCTGGAAACGAGCTCTGCGACCTCAACAATTGCCGGCGACTAGTCGCTGATGTTAAGAACACGTTTCGCGTGTCAGCGAGCTTCGGCCGACTCAAAAAAATCGCCGGCATCCCGAAAACTCGAGTGATGCTCCACGGAACATCGGGCGTACTACGGCCGTAAATGTCGTTTAGAGCTCGCCGACTAGTCGGCCGATCGATTCACGCGCAATGTGAGGGCCCCATAACCACGAATTCAAGACGTCAACTAATGACTTTTACCAACCGCTTTGTGTAGGTTCACGATTGGAGCTAGCTCCATGGAGCTAATTAGTGCAGATCCTATTGACCACATGACCTTGCTCCCGACCTACTCCTAACTCTCCTAACCATAATCGAGGGAGTTGGAGAGGGGTTCGGCTATGTGTGACAGGAGCTGAAGATGTTTAAAGCTGTTTTTACTTGCATCTCATTCCAGAAAGAAAGTGGTCCAGCGTTTACAGTACCCATACGGAGACGACTGTATACTCTCCACGGAAGAGTTTGATTCCCTGTACGGAGGTTCCTACTCCTTCTTGAGTTGTCAGAAAACGTGTCTGCAGAGAGCGATCCTCGACAAGTGTGAGTGCACAGACGAGCTGGTGACCGGGAGCAACTCTGGGATCTGCAGCGTCCTGAACAGCACACAGGTCAGGCATTCAAGCACTAGTGTTAAATCCCTGTCACACATTTAGAATATTCCGCCGGACACCAGTCAACCAAAGTTGGATGAAGCTCGGGGCAGTCTGACCAGATTTAGACCATGCCTACCTTTCCATACGAATCGAATTCGTGTTACATTTCACTCAGATTAAGTGGCAACAAATCCCCGACCTACTCCCGAACACCAGCCAACCAGCTGCCAACCCAACAACTCATTTTGAAACATTCGGCTGGCGTAGCCCAACAGTGGCCAACCCGACCCAACCTTACTATGGTTTGGGGTAGTGTTCGGGAAGCCGGATTTGTCTGTGTGACAGGGCTTTGACGATGCATTAAACCCAACATGTTGATTTGTTCATATACTAGTACGTAAATTTCTAACATTTATGGTTGTATATAGTGTCAGACGTCTAGTGAGAAAACTAATGTTTCCAGTTTCACTTTCAACTTGTTCGTATTGTTCTTATTCCAGGAGCGATGCAGACGGAGCCAACGCCAGCTGTTTGACGACGACAAGATAAGATGTAACTGCAAACAGAGTTGTAGGGTAAGACTCCTTTGTATATTTTCTTTCACACAGCCAGGAATGTCTCTTACCTTGCTTACTGGTTGTGTTAAAGAAAATCCTAGTATTATATATTCTACCAACCTGATGAAACTATTTTCCAAAGACTTGTTAGCGTGGCTAGGGTCGTTGACTCAGAATCTAAAGGTTCTGGGTTCGAATGCTTGAATTCTCTCTACAGCGTCACCTGGCGGGAGAGAGAAGTAATTCCAGTCATTTGAGCCGTTGAGAAGGTGGCTATTAAAAAACGTTGTGAACAAACAGCTACACTATCCTAAGTCATTATCAAAAAGAAATTTATCCTATAACGTACGTCCAGCGCAAAGATAGGTTTCCGCACATTTGTAGTCAGCATAACTTCAGAACGCCTTTATGGATTGTGATGGTATCTGGTATGCTGGTAGGTCTTAGCTATAGGAAGCCAAAGTTCAAGGTCAAATATGGGCCTCCTGGTGGCTGACCTTGGTACTGCAGCAGAACTTCCGGGAAAACAGATGTGCTGGGTGGCAGGGAAAACAGATGTGCGGGGTGGACGCAGCGCCTGCCCGGTTTGATTAATGAGGTTCTCCCTCGGGAAAAGCCTACATGACCATATCCAGGCCAAAGGTGCTACTGTGTGATTGAAACCAAAAACCTGTGTTATTTTGTTCTGTACTGTATTGTACTGTGTAAAACGTTTAGAAAAACTCATATATTTCATGGAGGTATGAGATCTCCGAATTCTTGTTAAGGAATTAATTTACCACTTGTATGGCACTACGTGCACGTAATGCAACTTGTACATATATGATTCCGTCAGTAGGGGATCATATGTGTTTTTTTCAGTGCTCTCTGTTTCTATTATAACATATATACGATATTACCTCTCAGGACGAAGTCTACAACATCTGGATGTCATCATCAACATGGCCGTCGGATAACTACCTGCCGTACGTGCTGCAGAACATCCACAGTCGCACCCGGGCCAAGAACCTGCCCCGGACTGCTGAGGAGGTCAAACAGAACCTAGTTCGTCTTCACGTGTATTTCCAGGTAAATCTACAAGTCAAATCATAACAAGTTCAGTTTAAGTTTGTTTATCTTACCAGAAGGATACACTCAGGCTAGTTGACCTGTTTTTCAGGCAGTTCTGGGACGATAAAAATACACAATCAATACGAGAAAACAATGCACAATAATAACAATATAGTATAACGCACAATGATAACTATGCAACAGTGCTCAGGAAATGTTTTTTCCAATTACTAGTAAAATTGTTTTTTGAAGCCATTAAAGTTGTGGGTTTTCTTTGTTCTTTGCTGAGATGATTCCACAACACTAGACGCTGGTACGTATACTGCAGGCTCCCATTAATGTTTTCCTGTGGAATATCCAGCATGTAAGGATCCTAATGTACTATTTGGTTTACAGCTGACCGCGTTCGTCAGTTCAACACAGAGGGTGACATCCATTTACACATTTCTGACAAGATTTCATTCAGCTCAGACGTCCGATATACTACTAGTAGTATTTTAGACTTAGATTATCGGGACTTTCAAATTGCCTCGTTCTTTTGATCTTTTGTTCTTCTGCCTGCCTTTTTGTAGCAATTAAAGCGCTAATTATAACCTACTTTGTCTGGAAAAACCCGCGGAATAGCCACTTAAAACAATATAAAGACTTGTGCTTTATTTTGACCCGTGTATTTGGAGATACTAATAAAATACGCCAATCTCTCTCACAAAACACTTTTTTGTTTCCAACAGACCTAATCAGGCACATAGTCCATTGGTTTTCTTTACTTTTTTATGTAGTGGAGTTATGGTGAGTCTTCATGGTTTTCTTTTTTTTTTCAGGAGCTTACTTTTGAGGAGATCCGGGAACACGAGGGGTATCTCTTTGAAGAACTCCTGAGCGGCATCGGCGGTCTGCTGGGTCTGTACATCGGGATATCAGTCATCACCGTCTTTGAAGTCCTGCAGTTTGGCTGCGAGATTCTCCGAGCTCTTTTCCGAAAATGGAGGAGGAGCAAAGTGGCCGACCGGGTCAAGAAGAAGACAGTTGCCAAAGACGAGGACTACCATCCTTCCGCCATATTTTATGACGTAGGAGACAAACCTATGGCGTATACCGAACCCTACCGGCCTACAAAAGAATACTTTCTGTGAAGAAGAAAAAAACTTTCAATGAAAATATGTCTTTGACCAAAAAGTTATATATGGCATTCTGCTGAAAACAATTGAAATATCAAATACCGCACCCCTGAGGAATTGTGTGTTATTGAGCAGTATAGCATTGTCATTGGTAGAGTTTTTGAACAAACCGAAGACAGCAAGACTAATGGCCATGGCCTTCTTAACCTTAAGTTGACAATGACTGTCATTGATGTAGTCATTGTCGCAACATCTAAAATGTGTGTAAATGGAGAATCTTCCAAATATTTGCATACTTCTGTCAACATTCCTCCGATCCGCAAGTAAATCATCGTCTGCCTGAGATGGTCTTTATCCTACGCTATAAAATATGCTAATAAAGAAAAGCACCGTTAGTTGCAGTATTACCTTGAAATCAGTCATTAACATCTAGCAGGATACGATTGGTATATTGCTATAGAGAGGTTGATATTCGATTGATTAAAGAATTGACTATCCCAACTTGTATGTAGCATGCTTGATATTTCGATGAAGGTTAGACATCCAGGTAATACGATACGCCAAAAAGCAGTTACTCAAGCAACTGGATATCAAAATCATATCCAGTTGCTTGAGTAACTGCTTTTTGGCGCATGCTTGATATTGTATGTTATATTTGTGGTATGCTTGTCCAGCGTGTAGTTATAAAACAACGAGGCATATGGAAATGGGAAACATATACATGTGGGATATTTCAACAAGACGTTGTACATCCTGGCGTATACTGTATACGGGCATGGTATGTATTACATAGTGCAGTCCGTAGTGTTTTATGCAATAAGTGTGTAAACTTGTCCCGTGAACTCCTGATTTTTATCTTGCTAATCAAATACATCAAAGCCAGAAGCTAACTGTAATATGCATCATGTATTGCCCATGATATCTGCATCCATTTTGTATCATGAGCTACTATCTCGTAATATCTAACATATTGTGAAGAGCCCCGTGATACAATTGTTAATAAAGTCTGTATATCTGATCATTGTAACCGTTGCCTTGATGAATGAATGAGTCATCTAAAGTCATGGTGGGAACCGATATGGGACATGACGTGTTTTACGGAGGGAGGTTTTGGGGCGTTTGTTATTACCTTTGCCAAGAAGATTTATGTTTTCAGTAGCGTTTGTTTGTTTGTGTGTGTGTGTGTGTGTGTGTGTGTGTGTGTGTGTGTGTGTGTGTGTGTGTGTGTGTGTGTGTGTGTGTGTGTGTGTGTGTGTGTGTGAGGTTTAGCACGGTAACTCAAAAAGCTTTTGATAGGTGGGTAGGCCTTTATGAGACCTACTAACGGTTAAATTTTGGTCCCCCTGGCGGCTTTCCTACGTACTGCAGCGGAAGTTCCGGTTTTGATATCTCATGATCTAGACATGTATAGGGTCACGAATTTTAATGGTAGATAGCTCTTGGGCTAGGGAAGAAGTGACATTAGTTTGGGTCTCCTAGCAGCTTGTTTTGGAACTGCAGAAAAAATTTGGTTTCTTGAAAAAAATTGGCTTGTTGAAAAAATATGTAAGGGAGAATCTCAAGAATCGGCTGACGGATTGCCATGATTTTCAATACGTAGGTAGCTTAAGTGATGCTTGACACAATCAGATCACAATTATGCAAATCTGAAGCTAATTTAGATAATTAATGAGATATTTCTATAAATCTGCTGTATTCCATAATAGGCCTAGGGAACACTTGTGACATATATAATTGGGAACGTTACATCAGAATATATAGTTAACGTTATGTAAATCAAGGCCTAACTTGCATGATAAATGGCAAGTCGCTGTAATTCTAATGGCAATGGCAAGTCGCTGTAATTTCATTTCCAAAATCATATCCAGTTGCTTGAGTAACTGCTTTTTGGCGTATCGTATTACCTGGATGCCTAACCTTCATCGACGTAAGGCTGTCGTTGATTATAGAATGATTATTATGATCAATTGATATAATCCCTAATGGAAATGAAATGAAATCTTATTTTCATAATCAATGGGAAGAAGAAAAATTTCGTCATTCGGAATGGTTAACGAGAAGTGCAAGAAAATGGAAATTCGTAGATGACCTTAATCTAACAGAAAGCCGGAAAATCACCATGACATCCCATCTCCAAACTGATCTCGACAATCTCGATTCTTGGACAAAAAGACAGAAAATGAAACTGAACCCTAAGAAATGTAAAGTAATGCACGTTTTCTTTACAAAAGTCACACCGATACCACCACCACTATCCATCGCCGGCGAAACACTGAACGAAGTAAAAGTTGTTAACGGTTACTCGGCCTATTCGTGCAAGCGGACCTTGGCTGGGAAACACATGCTGACCACGTAGTGAAGTCCGGTAACAGAAAACTGTTCCTGCTCCGACAGCTACGACGCCTCGGCCTCTCTCCGGACGATTTACTCACTTGTTATAAGACATTTGTCAGACCAGCTTGTGAGTATGCTGCTCCAGCATGGCAACCGGGACTCATAACGAAACAACGAGCAAGGATCGAGACCATCCAGAAAAGGGCTTGTCGGACAATATTGGGCCCCGCCTACACTTCCTACCCAGAGGCATGCACACTACTCACCTGCCGACCCTAGAGAACCGCCGCCGCCAGCTGTGCTACAACTTCGCTACACGACTGCTGCATTCAGAGACTTTTAGAGACTGGTTACCCCCATACCGTAGCGAGATCAGTGCCAAACAACAAGATCATCACATCTACTTGACTCTATGTTAAAGCACGTACGAACAGATACCAAAAAAGTCCTATCCCATATATGACAACCCTCCTGAACGAGCTTGACACATAAGTCAACACTGTGTACTTTACAATATGACCCCCTTGTTTATAATTACTTAGTATAAATCCTATATGATTAATAGAAATATTTCTAAAGATTTTAATAATTTGATATAGCACACGAATGTCCATCTTTTAACCAACGCATTGGACCAATTTTAATATACATTGTACACTTCGACTGTACATAAAGTGTAGTTGTAATTTTCAATTTTTAACCTTTAGTAATATTTGTTATAAGTCTATGATAATGTATGTAATATACTATGTACTGTCACCATAATTCAGTCTTAGGACTGCAAGTGTACATGTGACATGTGTGGTGGAAATTTCAAATAAACCATTCTTATTCTTATTATTAACATCATTTGGCGAGGGTATGAGGTGGTAGAATCTTGTTATTATTATTGTTATTGTTTAGAAGGTCAGGTCAAAAGAAGGTCAGGTCAAAAGAATTTATTCCACCCCCACAAACACACACAACACACTAAAAATAGGGTATTTTTTTCCTCGTTTGGACCCCCTTTCTCGAGGGAAATCTTTCAGAACTGGACCAATGATCTTGCAAGATGGTGCTGACGACGGCCACGACGAAAGTATGGAGGAACCAGCTGAATCACAAGGTGTTGGCTTTTGAAAATAATGGTAGGAGTTGAAAATGAAAAGGGCAGTTAGATCATGCTTTCACGATGCACACCATTGCGGCTACAGGTTCCTCCCTGGCACCATTCAAGAGGCAAAAAGGAAAAAGGAAAGCTGGAGTCGCATTTGAAACGGGGTCTGCTCGACATGTTCTCGGCATAGACGCCGGCCTTTACGGCTCCCTGTCGGGGCGCTGAGGCGGCTTCTATTTAAAATTGCAAAATTGCATAATAAATAGATAGTAAAATTGCACTGTATTCCGTAAAATTGCACTGTATACTAATACAATTGTACTGTATTCCGTAAAATGTATACTAGAAAATATGTATACTGTATACTAGAAAACTTGCACTGTATTCCGTAAAATTGCACTGTATACTCTGGCACCCCTGAACTCTAACACTCTAACATATTTTCGAGATCATAGCGCCCGGGAAGCAAATTATAATCGGGACAAGGTGCTCGTTCTGCATAAGCAGTACAGGAGTGCCATCTTGCGGGATATGTCTGAAAAACAGGCTGCAGCAATGGTATGGCCGCAGCTAAATGCAGCCATTTCCCCTCAAAATGCTCACAAAAATGGCTCTAACATCACTAAATAAGAATTCAATATACGTAATTGAACAATAAATAGTAATATACGT